TTCCTTGAATGTGGCAAAAGTTTGTTTTATTTTGTAAAATCTAAATTGACTTGGTTGCCTCAGTGATGTAGTTAAAATGTTATGATTTTGTAAAAAAATATTTGAAATGCAAACTGTTTAATTGTTCTAATACCTGGTACAATTCTGATTGGTGACCATAATAAAGCATTTTCAGAAATTACCTATATTGACAGAAATCAGAATGATATAATCTTAATCTTGTCCAAATTTTTCTGAACAGATTTAGGTTTGTATTTTGTATTATTTTAGACAGAAGATGATGGGTTTATTCATGTAGCAGCACATTTTTCCATGTTTCTAAAGAACACTCTGTGTGAAGAAATGAAAATATCATAGTACAATTAATGTTTAACAATTTTATTCAAGTAAAGTGTGCTCTAATGTTGAGACAAGGCCTAGAATAGCATTACACTGTAATACAATGGTAATCTTAGCCGTTGAACCAAGCCTGCTTGGCATCCTTGGTTTACCTTTTCCCCCCAATACATTTAGGGAAAAATAGAGAAAAGGAAATCAGCTTATTCAATTTACATTTTGCTGGCTGGCATAAAATAAATTAAAACACAATAAAGTTATATACATAATACATTGACAAAACCCAAAATACTATAAATTACACCAAACGCAACCTGTCAATGTAATCCACAAGAGTAAAACAAACCAGACACTGCTGTTAATATTTTTAAACCCCATAGGCGACAGGCTGTAACATTTTTAAAAAATAATTACTCTCCTACCCTTTTCCTAACTTGCTGCTGAGTACAAATGAAAAGGCAAACTTTCACATCACTTAACCACTATCACAAAGTGAAGAACACAGAGTGTTTAGCATACAAAAACTTGTAACGATGAACTGGGGACAAAAACATACCTTCCTTGTACTGCAGCCTTTATAGCAAGATTTTAACAAACATCATATTGGGACAGAAACCCCAATGGATTTTATCATGCCAGACTGAATGAGAAGAAACCAAGGATCCAACTTCCTCTATACATCACCACGCAAAACACTTGTTATGTGTACCTAAACTAACATCAACCTAAAATGGCTGCATTCCAAACCAGGGCATGCAAGACCACAGGAGCTAACCTGTGAAATACATCACGCATGTACAATTATTCCACGTGAACAGTCTTTCAAGAAGACCAAACCACACCCAATCAAGAGAAGAAATAAAAAAAAGATCCAGAGATGGTTGATTATGATTACAGCAGGTAGATTTTGGCCCAACTACACTTCTAAATTTCAGCAGATATAGATTGAAAAGAGTCAATTTGATAAGCATCTCCCACATTAAATATAGTTAGAGGTGGCAAGATATAAAAGAAGAAACAGATTACTTACTTGTAATTATTCTTGAAGCTGTCAATTGTACAATCAATATATAGAGTCTGCAACTGTACACAGCAATCTTCAAAACTTTGCCTATCAAACTTGTGTGTGTGTGTGCATGTGTGCGCGTGATGATGGCAGCGATAAACAATCAAAGTATATCCATTAAAGACATTTAATCTCAGATCGGGAGAGCAAACAAACATTTAAATAATACTGATAATTACATTACAGTGTGCTAAAATTCTGCTGTTTTATAAGATAATAAGATGACCACACTCTCTCCTCACAGAAAAGAAATAGTTTGTTCACAGGTATGGAATAATATGAAAGATTCATGTGGAAAACATGGATAGCCTATGTACCCAATCATGATGCAGAATACCAGCTTTAGCACATTTTGACAAGCCACAGTTTAGTTAGCTTATGATGCACAAATTCCAGGGTTTCTTTTTGTAAAGAAGGATGAATTATGAAAAGTTTTCTCTAGCCAACATACAGCATTTTCCTCCGATGGACAGCTTGATAATAAGTCCATTTTTCCTGACATGAAAAAATAGGCATTAATAATTTGCATATTCAAAAACAGAAGTTGTGCAAATAATTTTGGAATTTTCCCCTAGCAAAGTGCAATACATGGTGGAGTTGGGGATATATGTGTGTGTGTCTGTGTATATGTACATGTATGTCTATGTCTGTCTCTGTTTGTGTATGTGTTAATATTGTGTTCAAGTCCTTGAAAAGCTAATAGTACAGGACTTCCTATGTGATATTGGTTGGAAGTAGGTTTGGGATAATTGGAAATAAAAATTTTAAAAGTCCTTCACTTTTAATAATGCAATCTCCTTATAGAATGGTTGCCTGTCAGGTTACATTGAAATCCACTGGTTTTATATATACTGTAAGTAAGAATAAAGCATATGAGCCACTATGAGAATCTGATTTCTTCTTTCCTAAAATCTTTCTCTGCTCCTTAATATTTCATGGCATAGTGTTTGAAAGATGTGTGTGAACTGGGGATACCAAAGTTTAAATCCAATTTAGATATATTAATCTCACTAAGAGATCTTTAATAAATCACATTACCCATGATTGCAAAGATATGGTGGATAGAATGGGAGAGGACAATGTATATTGCCCCGAGATTCTTGCAAAAAAGAAAAAGTGGAATTCAAATAAATCAATACATGAAATAATAAATGAAATGTGGAAATAACTGCCTTTTGGTAAGTTTGCTATTCTTAGAGTCATTTTTTGCAATGTGCACTATAATGTTAATCATGCAGTTAGAGTTTGGAGATTCTAAGGGCTTATTAACCATTCAGTTTGCTTCAGCAACAGGCCCACATGCATATTCAGATAATTTAGGGAGTTTCTCAAAATGGCTGCTCTGAGACTTCAACAGGGTGCAACACATAGACATTTGGAACAGTGAATCTGGAGGGTGCTTCAGTCACTTCATGAAATGTCCCACAAAAATGACTGTTCATGGCCCTGATTACCTGTGTTCTCCCCGAAGTTCCAATTGTTCCATTGCACCTTCTTCATTAAAGCCATACCAAATGACTTTCATTTGTTTAAAAAATGGAATTGAGACAAGACCAAACATGATTATGATGAGAGCAAAGTTCAAACCACCACTAGCAGCTTAGGAATTGTCTAGCTAGGTTGGCCAATGCTTATAACTGGAACAATATGGAGATGAAATGTTAAGTATACAAAACAGCAGTATTTGACCTTAGAAAGAGACAAGCCATTGCACCAGACTACATAAGTGTGCAAGTGTTTTTCTATGCTGATTGTTAAGATTGTATTCTCTAGGCCCAGCTAGATGAATAAACTGATATGGAACTGGTTCAAGATTTACCTAGCCTATACTTTATAATAAAGAGAGAGATTTTTTCATCATATGTAACTTTTCTTAACATAAAGTAAATTGTCTAAGTTCCCATTTGCACAGTAAGTCTACACTTCTGTTGCATGAGGTAGCTATCAGTACAGATGGAGAAACTGAGGCACATATGGCAAATTGATTTGCCCAATGTCATACAAGAAGCTGGTGGCACAAGCAAAGTTAAGCCTGAATTGTCAGAACTCATGTTTAATTTTTAGGCAACAATGGTGCCAAAATTTTGTATAACATTCTTCACAAGTGGCCAGCTTACGGTTCAAAGTAAGGAACTGTAGCCATTCATTGTCAAACAAAAACAAGCAATCAAAAAAAAATCAAAATAGTTATAATAGGGAGTTAATCTGAAGTTAAACATATAGCCTAGGACTATAGGAGTTAGTTTTTTCGGATCTTTTTAAAAACCAAATGTTACAAGCAGCTGAAATAAAAAATGAGAAATAAACCCAATCATAGAATATGGGAATAAGAGATCGATGCATGTTGCTTGACTTACATGGCTGGCCAATTTGTATCAAAATTTTAGACTCCTAGTCAGAAGATTAAGTGAAAAAAGGCATGTGAAGTTAACAACTTTTTCATGAAAAGTATTGCCAAAATCTGTGCAAAGAATGTAGAATTCTATATCTATTAATTTGTTTTTCATTGAATTATACCACTTTCTAATTGCAACCCAAACCTTCTGTAATTTTGAAGATGTAGAAGTGTTTTTCCATGATTGGGCTAGATCAAAGTATCAGAGTGTCCCAATTCTTCCACTATCAGAGCCTTACCACTACTACATCCCACTGGTGATTGTGCCCTGATGTAACCCCGCATTCATTTACCCATCCATAATAGCTGATTTCAGGAGCTTGAAAATAGACAACTTTGAAACTCAAGGCTCTCTACCTCTCAACAGAAATCATTAAATATAGTTGAATGCATGCTTTATATGATGCTGGCAGGTTCATTATTTATAAGGAACCAAACCCCCAGGGTGAGGAGGGGAGTCAAGGAGACAAATGATAAAAGGTGTAATACAAACTTTGCCCCTTTTATATATGAGCTGTACTACAAGCAAATACGTAAGGAGCAGCGTTTGCATTATGATGTCAAAACACACAATATTGTCGACTGGAAAAAATGAAGTCTTCCTGCAGATAGCCCAGAATCCCCCATGCCTACAATATTCAGACTCAAAAGAAGTTTCATATGCATACAGAAAAGGAGGAGAAGGGCAGAAAAAGAAGAAATTAGATAAGCACAGGAATGTCCCAACCTTTGCAACTTTAAGACCTGTGGGCTTCAACTACCAGAATTCAAATTGGGGAATTCTGGGAGTTAGAAGTCTACAAGTCTTAAAGTTGCCAAGATTTGACACAGGCCTGGTTTAGAACACTGAGGGAGAAAAACAACATGAAATGTGACAAGACCGCTGGTGCAGGAACATTTTTACATAATTTCCTGCTCTCTAACAGTGCATAAACACTGATGTCTACTTTTGCAAATTATCATAGTGTTCTTGAAAATCAAGAACAGAGGCTTAGATGTCTCACATTGCTTGTTGCAGTTTATCAAGGACTACAAGAAACCCCAGAAAAAAGAGTCGGCAACTCTGTGTAGCTCAGCCACATGCAGGTATAAAAAAACGGGGTTCCCCAATACCAGTTCTGTAGTGGACCAAGAAATGTGATATGGTCTCAGCACCAACTTCCTACTTTACCTGGCTTGAAAGTGCATTCTTAGTGCAAGAAGTAGAACTGAAGCAAAAAGGAGCTTACCAGCCCCTTGTGGGTTTCATGCTAGGACCAAAATTCTTGCTTGAGTTCATATGCTGTAGATTTATGTGTTCTGAGTTCTGCTCTGCATAGTGGCACTGTGCTGTCCTGATTCTGACCTTCAACATCCATGTCCAGCAATGTCCGTTCCTCTTCAGGCAGCCTGACACGAAAAGAAAGCAGCGTGGACTGCTCTTCGACTGTGCTGCTACTGCTGGCAAAGCAGGAATCCAGGTTACTGGGAGTTTCAGTACTGGAGCTATTAGCAGAGGATTCACCCCTAGCCTTACTTGGGGATACCAACCACCAGGGATCAACTCGCTGCCTGTTAGCTGAAGGGCGTGGCCTAGGTAGGAATTCCAAGGTCTTGGGTCTCTCCAACATGGATTCCTGTTGAGCGATATAACGCCTGGGGGTTGGAGGGAAGATGAGGTTGGGATCTGGCAGACGAGGGACTTCATTTGGACCCTGACTTGGACTGGGAGTTTTTATTATACCTATTCTCTCACCAGGGGAAAAAAAATCACAAACAGAAGAAAGGAAGGGGGAGAGAGAGAGAAGAAAGAGAAAGCAACCAGTTAGACAGCACTGATGAAATGAGGCACTGAGATCATTTAGTATATAAAGGATGTATTAGACAGAGGGAGAATTCAGTTCACATAGGAGCTACGGTGACTGTTATTCTGACCCCAGCAAATCTGTACGGCAAATGCAAGTATAAGAATAGAGCGACCGGGTTACAAGGTCTTATGTCTCTTTTGCTGGAATTATTTTTCCAATGTGGACAACTTAGCACTAAACTCTAAAACCAATTTTATAGATGGTAAAAGTCACACCTGTATTGAAAAGGAAAGGTTTCCATTAGTATTTTAGATAGAACGGAAGAGTACTTTTATGCCTCATTGCTTTAGAACTGCTTGGAACAAATTTCACAGTTCAAATGGGGCTTCCCCCAAACAAAGATGCAGTGTCTATCTACAATTAACCTATGTGTCTCTTGAAGTTTAAATTGTTCTTTAACTGTGTTTGGAAACTGACACGGTTTCTTAAGAGTAGGCATTAATTATCTTTGTTATTAGCATTTATTTGCACATTATGTACATCAGCAGGATACAAATTATGTAAATGGCAGTGATTCTATTATATATTGTTTAGAATCCTATCTGAGCAAGTGCATAATAGGATTGTGAAAATTCAAAAAAGGAAAAAAAAAGTGTTTTGGAAACACAGCACTAAGTGGCAACGCCTTAAATAAAGTATGTCTTTTTCCAAGACTGCTTTGCAGCTGCAGAGAACAGGTCCTGGAAAATGGCTTTATTAATTTCATATGCAGCCAACAGGTGCTACCTGAGTGCCCCCATGGCTGCAAAAACACCTTCTCTTGGAAAGTGCTACACAGCATATCGTATGTACGAAGTATGTAGCAGATTGATGTAGTTTTCAACTGACTTAAATCACTTAGAAAAGGCAACAAAACAAATGGAAGGGATTTAATTTCAGGTCTCTTTCAGTTATAGATAGACTTTTTTCCTAAGTTGATTATATCCAGGCCATTTATAAAAAAAAAAAAAAAAAAAAGTTTGTGAACTCTTTTTTTTTTTTAAAGTTTTCTTTTCAACTGCAACTGTAATTAATTAAAAATATTTAAAATTTTAATTAAATTAAAAAGTATGTTTTTAAAATAGTGTTAACAGTGAAGCATGCTTATTTTTCCTTTAAATACAGGAATTATAGAACTTTTCCCCATCTTACTAATATACCCCCCTCTTACTATATATAACAACTTCAGAATAGCCAAGTTATGATATCAATTTAATGAAATGCAATGAACAAACTGATAGCTATAGATTTCAAGTGGAAAAAATAGTATTTTGTGAGAAGATGAAGTTTTCATGCTATCATAACCCTTCTGCTTTAATTGTAATATGCATTTTAATTTATATCTTAAGAAAATTAGGGGTGTCACAGTATTGTTTGTATGGGCATGGCTAGAAAGCTTCTAAATATCTAAGTATATTTGTAGCCGTAAAAAATGTCAATTAAAACACTGTCACGTCCAGTACTGGTACAGATTTATTATTATGTTGGAGCGCAATTAGCCAGGTGTTTAGACTGGATCTGGCATTTTTATCCACCTATCAAATTATTTCCAAGACCTGAGATAGACAGATGTTTTTAGATGACGTTAAAGGGTATTGTCGTAGGATGTAAGCTGTTCCAAGTAAAGCTGTTTTTTGGAATTGACTCATGCGATTTTGCCAATATAATTGGCATTCAAGTGGTGGTCCAGATGCTTTGGGATTGTACCCAAGGCACCTGTTACTTTTGGTAATTATATGGTATACTGGTTTCAGTACATCTTTTTCACTGTCCTTCAGATATTCTTCCAATACCCTTTTTCCTTCTTCGGTGGTCTGATATATTTGCAAGAGTCCATGCCCACCTATTTTCCTTGTAAATAACAGTCTGTCAACATTGCTGTGTGAATCAAGGGCATGATTCCTTGTCATTATTTTTCTGATCTTCCTGTCCAGGGCTGTATATCTAATGACTGGAATTTCCCAGGTGTTAATTGACTTGATGACATTTCCTCCACTAAGTTTGGGCTTTAAGAGCTTCAGTCTTGTGATGTATTCTCTTCTAACCTTCTTCTTGACTTCAATTTGCTTGATATTCTCAGCTTGAAGGATGCCTAGGTATTTGTAGTGATCTTCTTCATCCAGATGCTTGAAATTATTTCTATGGGGCACCTTGACTCCCTCAGTTTTCACTATTTTACCCTTTGATGGTAAGGGTGGCACATTTATCCAGTCCAAAGTCCACGGCAATATCTTGGCTGTATATACCGACAGTGTTTGGCAGCAATTCTATTTCAGATGATGTTTTTCCATATACTGTAACTTCAGATCGTCCATGTAGAGGAGGTGGGATAGCTTGGCAGATGTTTTTGATGTCTGACAGCCACGGGCTGACTTCTTCAGTATTGATGACAGAAGAACCCATGAAATGGCAAACAGAGATCTTCTTGAAAGATTTCTCTGTTGATATTTAACTCTCCCACTTTATCAACCTTGATCAGGAATTGTGTCTTGCTTGGTGACATTGACCTTTGCACAAAGTTTTTGATGTTTCTACTGATTCTTGTATTTCTAGACACTTGATTATCTAATCATGTGGCAGGGAGTCAAATGCTTTCTTGTAATCAAACCATGCTACATTCAAGCTGGAGTTCTTTCTCTTGCAGTTTTCCAAAAATCATCTTCTCAATTAGGAACTGATCTTCTGTTTCTCTACTGTTGCATAGTTTCCTTTCTGCTCAGGTGGAAATAGTTTGTTTTTAAGTAGATCCTGTTGGATTGCATCAGCTACCACACTAGTTAGCAATTTCAAAGTTGTTGGCAGGTAGGTAATTAGCCAGTGGTGCTGTCCCTTTTGCTGAATCTTTCATTATCAGTTAAGCTTTGCTGGATTTTAACTAATCTTTAATTTCATCTCCTTGCAGTATCTTATTAAACTGTTTGGCAATATGTGGGTGAAGACCAGTCAGCTGTTTCAACAAAAACCATGCATTTCATCTTCACCTAGTGCTGACCAATTCTTGAGCTTCCTTGCCCTTTTCTCTATAATTTCTGCTGTTATTACAAGTTCTTTCATTTCAGCTTCTTTTTTTCTTTCCATCTTCTTTACCCAAGCTGCATTCTTTTTTTTAGGTTGTCCCAGAACTGCAATGTTTCTTCATCATCAGGTGTTGACTGATTCATTGCAGTCTTTCCATTGATGAATTGGTAAAATATTTATGATTTGACTACAGTGTGCAATTTGTTTGTTTGTTTATATTTCCACCTTTATCAATTTTACAAGGCAAAATGTGAGCCTTATCTGCTGATCTTCTTGGCTATGGCTATTATTTGCTGCTTTATTATTTCCAGTGATGTCCTGATTTTCCTTATTTCTAGGTGATATTTCTTGATCAAGTATTCTTTGGCCTTATTCTTCATCTTTTCTTTCACTCATTCTAGCTTGCTTGCATCTGATCTAAGCATCCTAACCCTAACCTGATCTTCCATTTTTGGGTTTTAGTAGCTTTTTGTCTTGTTGATTTTGCATTAAAGGTAATTCAGTTAAAACTGCAGCTGTTTATACATCAGTTGGTCTGTTTCTTGCAGTGAACTGGTGCTTATCTTTGATATACAGTATTGGCATTTTTTAATACTTGTAGTATTAATACTTGCTTCTCAAAACAAGCTTCAAAGCAGGCAACATTGTTATTTTTGTGCTGCCCAACTACTCAGTTATTTTTATTTCAGTTGCTCTTATTTTATTTTTGGTTAGAGGGCTTTGTTATCATTATATGGAGAGAACAGATCTTTGCTAAATTCATCAGCCAAAATATATCCCAAGAAATGAAAGTGTTTTGGGATTTTCACAATGTAGTTGTGCCAAAGAATAAAATGGCTTCCTTGAAATTTAAAATTGTAGGTGACCACAGGAAGTCTAATATTTGTCATTTGCTTTTAAGATAATATATTGCCTTATTTAAGAAGCAGGAAACATATTTCTGCTGCAATAAAATACATGCACATTCATTCATCTGAGTAATTTTTAGTGTCACTCGTTAGTCATATTAGCTCAGTTTGGTTAATTCACAAAAGAATTTTATCTATTGGCAGGACACAGATTTCAGGAAAATAAAGAGGCAATCTTGAGTAGAAGAAAACACTAGGAACACTAAAGAAGAGATGAAATGATAAAATAGTGGTTGTAGGGTTTTCTTTTAAAGCACAGGAAAATGTGTGCAAGAAGTAAAATCATGCTAAATGGGAAGGGAAGTTAGAACCAGAAGCTACAAGAAAAAGGATAAACCTGCTAATGTGAGGAAAGATGAAAAGTGATTGAATAAAGGTTTCCTCCTTTCCTTCAGCATCTCTGAGAGTCTTCTCTACTGCTCCAACTGTCTGTACAAAAATAACTTATTTTTGTCCTTCAATCTTACTTTCAAAATCAATAACTATTGCAGAAATGCGGTGGCAAGGACATTTATGTTCTCACTTCGTATGGAATATAAAAATGAAGAAAGGAAACCTACCTGTTCCCAGAATTCCCGGTGGACAATTACTGGAAGAATCTCCATTAGGAACGAGATCGGCCAGTTTTATGGCGCCATCTGAGGGAGTGCGCCTATGCCTCTGTTGCTGAGCTTCAGAAGAAAGAGTCACATGTGTAGGTGTCAAAGACTGATTGGGATTCCGTTTGAATCTCTCAACTCGGATATTAACCAGTGGGTTACTAACTACTGGCAAGGGAGCCTTCACTGTCACAGGGCTAACAGGCATCTCGTATACCACAATTTCATCACTGTCTGAATGAAGCAAAGAACGGGTAGAGTTACATTCAGAAATTGAAGACAAAGAGAGCAGAGTCAGAGAACTGGATGGTTCGTTTAACAAGAAGGTGGGTTCTTCTTTCTTGAAGATCTTCCTTGAAGGTGGGCTTGTACTCCTTCGAGATAGAACAGCCCGTTGAAAGATACTTTCCCGTTTCTTCTTCTCTTCCTTGGACACGTCCTGATCTTCCTGGGTTAGCAGCTGGCACTTGCCAGCCTCCAAAAGATCAAAACCCAGGCCAGCAGCAGCCAACACAGCCCCACACCCTAGAAAGGCCAACTGACATTGTTTATACTGAGAGCCCCCACGTTTGAGGCTGTTGGTGGGAGTGAGCTGAGGAGTGCTTGTGCAAGAATTCACCGGAGTAGTCTCTTCATTAGGATCGCTCGAGTGGGTATCCCAGTCATCATTCTTATGAAATGGGATGCAGAGGTATGATTGGTTAAATCCAGGGGCTTGCAGCATCTTGCTCTCTGTATCGTTCAAAGAATCGTTGTCTTCGTTGTCTGAAACACAGATGCATGCACACACATAAACTTTTAAACATTTACATAATAAATATGTATTGGTTAACTTTACCATGTGTGTGTGTCTTGAAACATGGTAAAACAATAGAAATCTGAATTTTTGAATTTTAATAAGAGTACAAAATATTGGCACACTGTTCATTCAAGGAAGCACTTCAAAAGGCTACTTTTGATTTGATAAATCCTCTTATTCTTTCTTATGCAACTTATACTGACTCATGTATCTTTTAAAAGACAACAGTTCTAAGAAAGTTGTATTTATCTAGGATAGAAGGGATATTCCATTGTTATGGATAAGGCTGAATTCCCTGCAATGAATCAAAAGTATAATACATTATGCTAATTGATCTAAATTTGTTGAGAGGTGCCTAGGAACATACATAACCTGGTGTTTCTGCTACAAGTCCTGGAAAGAAACAAATAATAATGAATGGTATGTTGATAAACTCCAGATTTGATTTAAAATTATATTTTATAATTGTCACTAAAATATAGCCTCTAAATTGAAAAACGGAAGTAACCTCTGAAATTATATGCTCTTAAGCAATCATTTGCTATTAGTTTAATTTCTGTGCACAATACAGAGGCTTTTATTAAAAGCCAATAGGATGTTTTGGATTATTTGTTCTATATTATAGCTTTGATCATTTTCCCCCCCTAGGGCCAAATTTCCAATAAGTGTGACAGTTCTGGGGGAATGGGGGAGCTAAATATGTCCCAACTTGGCCAGTGAGGTAAACAGACTTGCTTAGTGTCTTTTTAAAAAAATCATTAGAGATATTTGAGTGGCTTTTGTTTCTTTATCACAAATGGTAAAATAAAGCATGCTATTCATTTAATACATTTAATTAACATGTACTTTACCCATTTCTATCAGGCTTGCAAACCCAGGAAAAGGGACTATTGTTCGCTGGAATTTTCCAAGGTTTGGAGCACTAGATGACCACTGTCTAGCGCCATCTGTCAGGGACTTTAGGCTAAAATATAGAGAAGAAAAACTAAATAAATGCAGGAGCTTGCTTGCTTCCTATTGTCCATTTTGACACTCTATAGATTAAGTATTAAAATGACTTGACATTCTATAGATTATACATTAAAAATGAAATTCACCTCAGTTACTTATTTAAACATACGAGATTTTCCTTAGAGTAAGCCCCTGAAACAATCTACAGTTGTGATTAGCAAAAGTCAACAATACAATACAGTAGAATACAGCAGAATTAGTACAGTACAGTACAATACAATACGGTACAACCTCAATATAATAAATTTATTAATAAAAGCCAATTGATTTTTTATTTCGGTCAACTAGCATTGTTTATGATGATGACGCTGATAATGATATCAGCTATTCAAGATTTTGGAATGCCTAAACAAATTAAAAAGGCTACCTGAGATAAAAATAAGAATGGCACTAAGCTAAAAGTGAAAAAGAAATGTTGCTATGTATTTGTATGTATAGGGAAAGAAGAAGTTTTTAAAAAGATGTTGCATAACCATTTGTCTGAAGTGGTGTAGTGTTTCCTGCCTAAGCAGGGGGTTGGACTAGAAGACCTCCAAGATCCCTTCCAACTCTGTTATTCTATTCTATTCTATTCTATTCTATTCTATTCTATTATGATAAAGTGAACAGGCTTAAATTTTATGGAATGTGGAGGTCCACATCTACATAAGCAGGAATTATCACCAGATAAGCAATCAAGCAAAAAGCAATACCATGGAACTACCAAGGAGAAAACCTTACTTTTACCAGCTCTTGATTGGCAAGCTACTATATATAAATAGGAAACAAAGCCCCCACTCACTAGCACAGATGCTGTTATCCAGTAAGGTAATGAAATGTCTGCATGAAAAAGTCAAGCTCAAAAAGTACCAAGGACTCCACAAATCGGCTGAGAATCTGAATGATTTGTGGCAAAAGATTAAATGATGCAGTGAAGACCATGGAACTGAAAATTAATATATCAAAGATCAATACAGCTTTGTTGACAAGGACAATGGAGTAAAATAACATAAATGCTTATTTACTGAATTTATAATCTGCCTTTTCACTAAAGAAGTGCATTTAACAAGATTTAAAAATAAAGTAATTTAGAAGGTAGCTTAAAATATTTTGAAGACACAATGAATATGTAAATTAATATCTGAATGATTGCACCTACCTACCTGAGCAGCCAAATCAGCTTACATGTCAAAAGTGACCGACATTCCACAGTAATGGAATAGACTCTCCTGCTTGAGCAGGGGGTTGGACTAGATGACCTCCAAGGTCCTTTCCAACTCTGTTGTTCTATGATTAACTAAGCAATCATAAAACTACTCACTAAAGGATAGTGGAAAACAATTCAGACTTTCCTCTAGTTTCCTAGAATATTATCTATAAAGCTTCAGCAAAATCTCAGTTGACTCATTTAAAGTTACTACAGGTTCTTAGAAATAATACTAAATCCAAATGTATATGACGGACATAAGGGGATAGACAAATAAAACACTGTATCACTGCCACACTATTGTAGCCTTTTGTTTACATCTTATGGCACTACTTTATGGAATGAGGTTTCCTCTATGCTTTGGGAATTTTTGTTTTTTTTAATACAAGCTGCCCAGAGTTGGTACGAGTCAAGAAACGTCCAACTTAAATAAAATAAAAATAAATAATTTGCACAAACATAATAAAAGGAATAGAGCCCGAGTCATGTCTATTTCACCATTTTGATCAAAGTGTCTGATCTTGGCTCCTCCCACTGATATAATGCAGACAATCTGCTTGGAATGAATGGATATATATTGGAAATATAGAGGTATGCTCATGTGTTACCACTGCTCATAGTTTTATCGGCAGAGAGAGAGAGAGACACCTCTTTCCTTTCTGCACATTTCTGTATGTTTCAGTCTCACTAACCCGGAGCACCAGTGAGTTTCTTCCTGAGTCAAAAAATTATAGGGCAGGCTTACTTTTTCAGGCAATCCTCAGCTTATTTCCATTTTTTAAATGACCATATGAAATGACAATAGCCTCGGAAAACATGACTTCTGACTTACTTGCACTTACATCATTGCACCATCCCCTCAGTCATGTGATCACAATTTGTGGACCTTTTTTGCCAACTTTCAGCAAAAAAAATGCACTTTTATTTAATGTATGATTTGTTAACAGCCATGCTGATTTGCTTAACAACCACCATAAAAAGCATTGTTAAATCAGGTCTGACTCAATTTAAGACCACAACAATTTACAGTGAAAATGCAGATCCCAGGGTGATCGTAAGTTGAAGACTACCACTTCTGAAAATATTATTTTTCCATACTGATAGATAGGATTATTCTAAAAATTTTCCGAAGCTTAAAAAATTAGGAAGCTGTCCAGCAATCATTTCCATGTAACTGGATACCAAGAAAAGTTCATGAAACACATCTTCCTCAATTTATGCTTTTTTCAGAACAGTATTGCATTCTTTAAGTAGCTCCTGCCTTCCTCCTATCAAAATCATAAAGAATACTGCATTTGAAAAAGACAATTCAAACTGTGTTTGTGGAATAATTCATGTGGTTGGATGAAAAGATACTTGATGAAAATTCAAATTGTAAGTTTCTGAAAGTACTTTTTACAGCTACCTGTTAAAACATGTGTCCCTAATCCCTGGTTCATGGATTGGCATGGGTCCATGGCATGCCAGAAACCAGGCAGCACGACAAGCAAAGCTCCATTTGTAAGATGTAGGCAGCATGAGAAACCATGCCCCCTCTTGTCCGTGGAAAAATCTCTCTCCACGGAACTGGTCCCTGGTGCCCCAATGTTTGGGGGCCACTGTATTAAAAGATGTTGAACTGTCTTTACAATTCTTTGGAGGTTTTTCTTGGTAAGATTTTCATGGTTTGATACTGACTTCTTCCTAGCGCTTGAGAGTGTGTGACCCAATCAAGGTCCCTCAGCTGGCTTTGTACTTAGCGCTAGAACTGTCAATATTTCAATTTCTAGACTGTTGCCTTTAACTACTACATCAAACTATCTCTCTATACATACATATAACCACCCAGATACACACTGAAAACTCATGACACAGGAGCAGATGTGTTCCTTACCCATCCTCACTTGATGTTAGCTCTTTACTGCAAAGAGTACCTGGTCCCCATGTCCGGCCCTTTTTCTTCTGGCCTCTTTTTTCTTCTTCTCCTTCCTCATCTTTCTGGAACACAGAGCTGCGTGTCCAAGTTTTGCTGCTTTCCCCAGGGGTTACTGAAGATGAGAGGCAAGATTGGAGAAAGAAAAAAAGTAAGCATTATACAATAACATTGTAATAAATAACATTTTATACTTTATAAACTATAAACTAGACTTATTTTTGAAAATTTACAAACCAGAGTTTTAAATGTTCATAAACATTTTCACTCAGCTTAGCCAGGGAAAAGACTTTTCATAAGGAAGGCAGACATTTGCTATCTCTCTTTTCTTCTCTCTCTTTTTAAAAGATGTATATTGAAGGAAAGAACATTTCTCAGGGAAATAAAACTCAGTCTCAAATAATACAATGATATAAGAAAAGATTGCTGCAGGAAGTTGAGAGAAAAAAACTGATAGAGGATAAATATCCAAACATACTTATTATGCTCTGCAAATGGAATAGGGGTGAAGCTTTCCATTTCTTACTATCGAAAGCAATGGTCTTCTCTTTTTGTAAGAAAAATGCTGCAAACAGGGCCAATTACAGCCAAGGATAGTAAATGTGATTTATTTCTTCAAGAGTACATATTGTAACATGATTTCACTAATTAAAGGCCAGACCACTTTACATAAATCGTTCTAGCTTTTTAAAGATATAAGATATCCTCTTCACCTCTGATTTATTTTTATTCTTATCTATTTTATATATTTTGTCAAGCATGTATTAGATAACAAATATAATTAAAACATGATTATGATTACATGAAATAGGTACAGATAAAAGGTAGGCACATTGGTGTGCATATGCACGCCCTTTACAGACCTCTTAGGAATGGGGTGAGGTCAAGATAGACAGTCTAAGTTTGGAGGTTTCTGGAAAAAACCACAGAGTCAGTACATTCCAGGCATTGAAAACTCTGTTGCTGAAGTCGTATTTTCTGCTGTCAAGTTTGGAGCAGTTTACCTTAAGTTTGTATCTACCTTGTGCTCGTGTGTACATACAAAGCCTGTGACAATCAGTTTGAAACTGATGCACTGGGATGGGGGAAAAACCTTTAAAAAAAAAAAAAGCAGAACACATTTTTGTTCCATCTGCATTAAGAGAAGTTATGAAAATCATAGGTCAATGTTGTACCATGTAGTGACAGACAGAATTAAGAAGCAGAGACTGTATGTTAATTAAAATGTATGTCTTAAAGATATGTTCTTCGTGGCTTTGAGAAATAGGTAGCCTTCTTGTTGTGATGGGGATATGGAGTCTAATTGCAGAATTAGTATTGTTACTAGAAGTTAGGAAGCTGGTATCACAGAACATGTTTAACCCTTTTGACAGACTACTTGTGGCTGTTCTTATATAGGAATAAATTAACATCAGGGATCCTCAGATTGGCAAACTCCTGCTTCATTATTGCAATGTCAGACTGCTACAAACATTAACAACAAGAAGAATTTACATTTTTGACTTTGGTGGTCTTTTTGGTCTGAAAATAAAAGCTAGTGCAAAATGCAGTAGCAAAATTACTGTGTGCTTTGTTTAGTCATTGCCAAATCAGACTGCTGTTAAAAGAATTACATAATTATCAGTTTGCTTTTGCCAGCAAACCCATAAAGCCTTGTACAACTAAAACACAAAATAGAATGATTGGCTTGGCCACCATAATGATTGCCCTAAGGCACTCCTGATTATGGTACAACCTTTGAATATTCATTTTACGTCAGTTGGAAAGAACTTTGGAATGTTTTTATCCTGTAAAATAAAATGCTCAAACTCTAACTCATATTAATAAATGTATTTGCCTTAGTGTTTAGAGAGTCATGATGACAATTCTCATATTCACTATTTACATGTTTACATTACCATGTATGTATTTATTGTATACATCTACATTGATTATACATGATAGTGTGTGTGTGTGTATGCATATGTATATACCCGCCCCCAAAATAACCGTTTCTGTTCTGCCAAAGTTAGATGTCTTTATAGCAGCTTTACAGACTACACCAACTCTACATGTTACAGATATTGTGCCCTGCAAGAAAAACAAGTGACAGCTATGCACTACTATTTAAATCCATTATGTTAAGGATAAAATGATAGAAAGATGGAAGCAAGCAATCAGTTGTTAAAAACAAATTATAATGAAACACAAGAGGTCCAACAAGATTAGTTGTAAACAAAACTCCCCAATATAGAAAGCAACGTGATGTCTTTATGTTTTATAAATTGCAACTAAAATTTCTTACACTGGATGGCCCTGAGCCGAGGAATGATAGTAGGGCTGGCAGGAGGACTGGCACAGATGTTGATCAAATTTTTTCTTTTATCCATGGTTGGAGATGCCTGCACAGTGAATTTGTGCTGGAAATCTGTTATGGAAGAAAATGTATTAAATATAATCACTGGTGAAGTAATGCTAACACTGAAAAGATATACAGTGCGGTACTTTGGTCTGCCAATGCATTGTGAATTTAGTATTAATCCTGCAACATTGCCAATAGAAAATATTACAATTATATGTATTTTTCAATTATTAAAATGTTAGAGCCATCTCTTCTTCTGTATCAAACATATCATGCAACACGTTACACAGATGACTTAGTCAATGAAACAGTAAAGTACTTTTTCTAGAAGATATAGGTTTGAATGATGTATTAAAATTCATCTCATACTGTAGCTTCAATATGCTAATTCAGAAGAGAGGAAGGAGAAGCATTGCTTTGATGGGAAAATGCTGCTAATTTTGCACAAGTTCCATATCACAAATGCTTATTAGGGATAATCAAAATTAAAGCTTTTGTTCCAGCAAAATTCAGCACTAGTTTGAAAATACTTCTGTTGGACTTGGACCAAATTATTGGAAAGGTATGAAGAAGGTACCTCAATCTTACTTATTGCTTTGTGATCACGATCTACCCTTAATTAGAAATTACAGAAGATTTCTTTACAATCTGATTTTTGTTTTAAAAAGTAACATAGCAATTGGTAGTACCTATCTGCTTTGGGCTGAACTAAATAAGAGTTGAATCTTGTTAATACTTTGGGAGACTGACAAAGAATATTAGGGCTATAGACTTGACCAAGACACCCCACAAAGGCTTGTCACTTTCACACTGTTGTCAAGAAAACAATTTGTCTAGGCCTAAAAAATCACCAGAAGTCTAAATGAAATTAAAGAATGTTTTAATTGTAACCAGATAATTATTCACACACGTCGTATATTTTCAGGAATAAAGAAACCTAGAAAGAAGCAATAGTTAGTTTATTTTGTTTTGCTAAAACTTTTGCTAGCTTATTTTGTTTTGCTAAACGCACCAGAGGGAAGACTGATGTGATTGCCATCTTTTAACTTGAGCCGATTTTTCCTGAATTTGCCCATGCGTTTTCTCACACGGGGCTTTTCCTGGCACAGTTGGTGGATGATGATATTGAGTTCTCTTTCTAAAATACCAATTTCTCGCTCTGCCAACTCCTGCTCGCGTTGCCGTAGTAGTTCTTCATAGTTTTTCTGTTGAACTGCTGCTTGTTTTAACTCTTCTTCCCACGTCCGCAACTCCTGTAAGAAAACAAGTCACAAACCAATCCAAAACGTGAGGTAGCAAAGTCAATTAGGCCTGCTATAAACTGAAAGGCTCAGAAAACCAAACCCGGTTTATATTTTGAATAGGCACATGGTAGTTCACCGCTTTTCAATACATATAATTTGAATAATTAAAGGTAGGTGATATGAACGAACCATTTAATTATTTTTAATCAGAATAGTGTTAGCTTTATCTCTAAAATCAGCCAGTAATCAAATTTCAAAGTAACCTCCTCTTACTATTCACAATGGGTCGTAACTTATTGTAATCGTTATGCAGGTTCACCCATGATCTAACCTGATTTTTCAAATATTTTTGGGATGGTTATAAAGTGAGTCACCAGAGTCATTAAGTAAATCATGTGGCTGTTAAACAAGTCACAAGGTTGTTAAGTGAATCCAACATATCCAATGGGTGGGTGTTTTTAATCATTTTGTGCAATGGCAAAAAAATATCCCAAATCATTGTCACATGACCATGGGACACTGAAACTGCTTATTAATGCAAGCCAGTTGCCAAGGAGCCAAAATGTGATCACATGACACTCTGTGTGTGCATGTTTGTGTGCGTGTGTGCATGCAGCAGTTATAAAGTTGAGGTGGGTTTTAATTTTTTTTAAGTTTGAACAGTCGTTAAGTGAGGACTATCTATATGCATGGTGCGATTCAACCAGTGTAACAACCGGTTCCATGGTCTTTTTTTAATCCCCGTTTGATCACCTTTCCCTTTCTCCATGTAGGGTTGTAATCTGCATGTACGTGTGTGTGCATGTAACCCAGATTCACTTAACAACCATGATACAAACTTAACTGCAGTGACTCACTTAATAACTGTGACAAGGAAGGTTTTAAAATGGGGCAAAACTCACTTAACAACTGCCTTCCTTAGCAACAGAAATTTTGGACTCAATTACAGTCATAAATCAAGGACTACCTACATACAGAACAAGTTTTTTCACATAACTTACATAGTTCGGGCTATGTGTTCTATTCTGTCTCACAATGACCTTATCTAGAATTGTCTTTCATAATTGAATATATTCCAGTTTCATCTAGACCATATTTATCTAAAACAATTTTATTTAGGAACAAGTATGAATTTTATTTTCTTAATTATTCAATGTTAAGGTATCTTCTCATGAGAATTAGAAAAGAATTAAGATTTAATAAGTATAGTTCTGTCTGTCTGTATTGTAGAGAAATCTACTTTACCTGCAATGGATTCTGAGACAGAAATGATTAATTGTTTATCAAAGCAACAGTTCCCACGTAATTACCTTTTCCTTGGCTCTGAGTTGGTCAAACATTTCCTGGATTTCAATTTTCCAATCTTCTTGCAGGGAATGAAACGATTCTTTTGGCATTTCAAAAAAACCAGATTCTTCTATATTAGTTAGTTTATTCAAAATATTTGCAAAGGGTGGTCTTGAATGAGGATCAGTATTCCAACAATCTAAACAGGATAAAGCCAACAATTCAGTAATTACAATAGTACAGTATTTGGGAGGCTTTGGTAATGAACTATGCACTTAATTACTACGATAACATTCCATATAATCATCTCAGTTCCCACTACATACTCAAATGTCCTCTTTTGTTAGAATATATGAGTAATGGTATGTGAGATGACCTTGGGAAGAGGTGGTGCCTAAGGAATGATCGGATAAGAGACAATATAGCCTGCAGCAAAGAAACGGGAGAAGAAACTCCCTAATTTCTCAGGCTGTAAAAAAAGGAGGCAGGAGGCTTTTATTATCAGACCTGAAAGATTCAGTTATTGTAGTCTTCTTAAGTCATCCAATTATATTTTTTGTCTGATCTACCTGGGAAGGCTGACATCCATCTTGCTAGGGAGATTCCCTTCTGATTTTCTTTCTGTGCTTATTATGTAGCTGTAGGATAATGTTCTAGTGGAATGGAAGGTATGTATGGGAGACCTTGAGGAATGAGAGGAGGAGATGCTGCCCAGGAAACAATCAGATAAGAGAGGCAGGAGCCCCCAGTGGCTTAAAGGCCAGGGAAAGAAACGTAGGAAGGACCCCACTAATGGATCAAGCAATTAAAGGGGCTGGAAGGAAATTTGTACCTTCAGACTTGCAAGATTGATGTCAGCCCTCCCGGATAATCCAGACAGGAAATAGGACTAGAGGAACTAATTCTACTTTATTGTAAGGCTTCATTAACAAAATCTTGCAAGCCTGAAATCACTAGTATTTCAAAGAGGCTTAATAAATCACTATTTTATTCAGCTACCAAAGACTCACATTTTATCTGCTGCATTGCCTGTTCCTTGTATTATAATTAATATCCTAAATTCTACTTAATCCAAAGCATCTTAATCCAATATGTATGTACATAAAATTACACCCATAATTCTATTTTAGCTGACTACTCTGTTTCTTAGTAAGTAAAGATATACATACTTCTGCCAAATTCAGAACAAATACTGATGCTGAAAATCTGAATATTTCAAGTACGATATACCTGAAACATTTTTTCTGATGGATTAAATATCATTCAAAGAGGTTTCTACCACAGTGTTTAATGGATGCTATCACTTCCCACCCGAGGTTCTCATTTACACAGTACAGGTAGTCCTCGACTTGCAACCTTTTGTTTAATCATTGTTTGATGTTACAATGGTGCTGAAAAAAGTGACTTTTGACCAATTTTTATACTTATGCCTGTCGCAAGCATCCCCATGGTCATGTGATCAAAATTCAGACTCTTGGCAACTGGCATGTCCCAGGGTCATGTGATCACCATTGGTAAGTTTCCAACAAGATGTCTTCCAACAAGCAAAGTCAATGGGGGAAGCCAAATTTGCTTAATGACCACACACTTCAGTTAACAACTGCAGTTCACTTAACAATTGTTGTAAAAGGAGGCAAAGCTCACTTAATCACTTTCTTGCTTAGCTACAGAAATGTTGGGCTCAATTGTAAGTCAAGGACTACCTGTAATTCCATATCATAACCATGGTATGATAAAGAATTGTCATATGATTCTAAATTATATATTCACAGATATAAACAGAAGCATAACTCTTCCAGAAAGAGCAAAGTGACATACTACATGTTCTCTACTTCTCAAGCACCAGCACAAGTGGTTTAAGGTCTTGGTTATTAAAATCAGCAGATATTCAGAGCATTTTGACAGATCCAGTTTGTCCAACACATTCTTACCTTCCATTAGTCTGGCAAAAGGTTCTGGGCACGTTGAAGGAATAGGAAGCGAAAGTTTATTCATAGCAACACCGTATGCTACCGCTAGGCCATCAATTCCTCGAAATGGTACTTCCCCAGTTAATAATTCCCAAAGCAATACCCCATAACTATGAAAACAAAACAGAAGTTTAATAACTAATGTAGCAACTTATAGTAAACCTTCACTAACACAACATCCTGGAATCACTCTTTCCTTATATATAAAAATAAGTGTTCTTATGCAATTAAAATAATGTACACACAGAAAAATCTTAATTGTGGATAAATGAATGGGGTTGTTTTCAATTAGCCTTATTATGAATATAACATTTAAAAATATATTTATCTTGAAGAAGTTATTTTATATGATCATTTAAGACAGACAGTGATACGGCTATTCTAAAGATTTTTCATAGCCTAAGGAATTCTCGGAATGTAGGCTTTTTTTTTCAGTTGCATTACAATTTTAGCTCAATCTAAGACCCCTGTTGCCCATTTATTTCAATGAAGCATCACTGATGGAAATCTCCCAGGTGCTCTACATCACTTCTTCACCCCTGTCTTGGGGTTATAGTTAACATCATATGGGAAACTGGGCTTAGCACCTTCCAAAGAAAAGCATCTCTCTTGTTGTCCAGCCTGCTTTCAGTAATGCATACCAAGTCAAATTTGTCATGAATGCTTAATAGGTTTTAATTAAAGACAGAGATGGCACAGTCCCAAATGAAAAGCAGATCTGTGAATACAGCATGTTCTTGGATACATGATGAATGATGCCTCTACAATGGATCAAGCAGTTAACGGGGAAAGCTTTTTTTCATGCAGCAATCCACTTTATGACATAAATGAAGCATACTTTAGAAAATTGGAAATGTTATGTTTACTACAATAATTTGATTGCACATTTTAATACGTTTAAAACAGAACAGCTAATTGTTGGCAGTTTGTCTACAGTTCATGTTCAACAGGAAGTAGAAGCTGAAGAATTTCCAAATTCATATATGCAAATTTAGAATAAAGCCTCCAAATTAATATGTGAATCTCATATATATAACATTAACATAAGGTTTGGAAAATCAACAGTCGAGGGTTCAATGCAGCAATAATTTAATATTACAGATGGTGATCACTTATAAAAATGTTTTAATGTTAATAAACATACCTCCACACATCACTGCCTTTAGAGAACATAGAGGAACGGATAACTTCAGGAGCCATCCAAGCATATGTTCCTGCTGCACTCATTTTAGTAGTCTTATGCCATTCTCTGGCCAAGCCAAAGTCAGTGATCTTTAAATTTTTGTTGCTGAGGTCTCCATTTTCCACTTTTTCAAGGATCAATACTAAACATAAAGTGAGGGGGTGGGAAGACGCATTAATTTATAGTCACTGAATCAAGTTCACAAGATACTGCATTCATTTCTTTTAAAAGGACACCCTTTTTATCTACATAAATTACAATTATCACATGACAGCAATGGATTTAGCTTCCTTTGTTTTCAGGCTTGCCATTCAACATTAGCCTAGCCTCAAGTACCAAGGTAAGTTTTCTGAGAACACCAGAAAATGAAGGTATACAATAATAATTTATTAATTTGCATGCCATCCAACTCTCAATGATTTTGAATAACTTACAATGATCAAGCAAAGAAATGCAATAAAATAAAACATAAATAAAAATATGTCATGCATGATGAAGCAAAAAATATTATTCTCCCTTGATAAACTCCTGAGTGGTCAGCCAGATATTCATGCCTCTTCTAAACCACACTGAGGAAGAGTCAACCAAATTGTTCCATGGAAAAGGTGCTGCTACAGAGCAAGTACACTTCCAGGATTCTAATAGGTGACATTTTAAAATCAAAACAACCTGGAGTATGCCAACCCTGCGGGATGAAATTGTCTGGAACAATGCTACGGGATACAGATGATCCCTCAAGTTATCAGGCCCTAAGCCATGTAGAGGTTTATAGCAAACAATCAGGATGTTGAATTGCACCTGGAAGTAAACCGGCAACCATACTTGTGAAGCGCAGGTGGTACATGACATACTGAGGGGTGCTCATTACTGCTCATGGTGCCACATTTTGGAGTAGTTAACGCTTCCAGGTGGTCTTTAAAGACAGCCCCGTGTTGAGCACATTGCAGTAGTTGAGCTAAAAGGTAATTAGGGTATAAGTGAATATCTGAAAGCCCCCCCCCCTCGCCCAATCTAGGACAGGGTGTATTTGGTGTACCAAATGGAAGTATGCAACGGCCTTCTTGGTTACAGATGACAGCTGCTCTTTCTGCAAGAACTTATAAATCCAGTAAGATGCTCAGAGGGCATAAAATCTTGAAGGGGGAAGTACTTTCCCATCTAAGGTCAACCTCCCGATTTGGGTGCCCAAACACTCACAACCATTCAGTCTTGCTGGGATAGAAGTCAGAGACAGTTCCCCCTCATCCAAACCTGGTCAGCCTCCAAGCACTGGGATGGTACCTTGAGGGCCTTATTTATATCTCCAGTTTAAGATATAATTGGGGATCATCAGCATACCATAATTGTACTGAATTTCATTTCAATAAGATCACAACTCTACAGAAATAATTTGATCGCAAAGTTAAAATATAAAAAACTAAACATAAATCTAACTACTGCAGACCAAATACATGACACTGAACAAAACTGTATCACTCTTGCAGGAGGATTCAATCTGGGTTGGTCACCGGGTCGGTTATATTCCATTAGAGAGATGTAATAGCCCATTAGCATAGGGTCCAACATGAGTGCGAAAGCTTGGAAGACTAAACCTCTGGTCCCAGTGATCGACCCAGATTGGATCCTGCAATAATTATTCTGGGACACGTATATTTGTCTTCGTTCGTGTATCACTCTTGTCATCGCCAATAACATACAAGTAAGGAAGAACAATTCATTTTCCTCTAGTCTGTCTTAAGTACTAAAGATTTCCCTTCGTGTTACAGAGCAAACAACTTGATAAATCTGGTGAACAAAAGCAACAGAAAATAGTTCAGTCAGCAAAATGTCAAGACAGAGGGGGAATAATTAGCAGAAGTTAATTAGTTAAACTGAAAAAAAGAGGGGGTCCTGGTTTTCTTTTATTTCTATTCTTGTTCCTTAAGAGGATTAGAATGGATTTTCTCTATTCATCATTTCTATACACAGGTTTATAGGCCTGGAAATTTGTTTTCTAACGTTTTTTCAAGTGCTATCCATCTGGTGATGACATAAGTGATCTCACAACTTTTAAATACAATTTTAATGCCCAATATTCCTGAAAGTTACTGGCATTTCATTCCAATTTCCACTTACTATTGCTGGACTTCAGATCCCGGTGGATAATAGGAACAATTGCTTCCTCATGCAGATAGTTCATTCCTTCAGCAAGCTGGACAGCCCAGTTAACCAGAATGTCTGGTGGAATCCTTTTACCAGACAGCACTCTATTTAATGAGCCTCCACGAGCAAACTCCATAATCAGGCAAAGGTTCGGTTCCTTTAGACATACACCTTTAAGGGCAATTATGTTGGAATGTTTTAGCATAGCAAAGAGCTTGGCTTCTTGATGGACATTCTCAATGGCTTCACTGATGTCTTCATCGGGATCATAGCGAGCTGCCTTGACAGCAACTTCCTCTCCAAACCAAACTGCACGGTACACTTTCCCAAAACCTCCTATGCCAATAATTTCCTCCAGAATAAGCTCTGAGAAGTCAATCTCCAGCACTAGGATACAAAATGAAAATGTCTAAGTTCCACAAAGATTATTTAAGACAGTAATTGCTATCATTTACTGATACAATTTAACCTTGACTTTTTAAGAGAAGGGACTGCTGAAATATTTACCTAGTGGAAATATGAGTCAGCTCATTTTGCACCCTTACCACTGCTAGAAATACTCAGAAATAATATATTAAATCAATATTGTGAATGTGTCTGAAAAGACAGATTTAATTTAAATCAAATATAACTGAATCACTGTTCAGAAAAATGTATTTTAATCATTAAAAATCACAATTTAAATTACTTCCCAGGAAGATGTTTTATATCATCATGGTCTAATAAGACTGCAATATTGTGCCTAAGATTTTATTATGGATAAACATTTCATTTTAAAAGGTAGATGCATTCTTGCCAACTTCCGGATCTTTAGTTAGTGCCTTAAAGATCTATGGCTTCAATCTCAGACTTTTCAGTAATGACAATGCAGGTTGTGGAATTCTGGGCACTGAAATCCGCCCAACTGAGGGGAAACAAGTTAGGGAAAACTGGATTATGCATTAAGAAGCAACTGCTTATACTATTTTTTCTAACTCATTTTAATGAGTCCCCTGGCTTCTGAAGGGCGAATGCAGTGACAAAAAGAGTAAGACAAAGGTCACTTTTTTGAAGATAGCAAATTCCACTTTCTGGATAGAGAGGACCACTGGTTTGAAAGAGGGGTCAAAGAGACCATCTACATTAAGATTGAATAACCCTCTTTCAACAGAAGGGAATGGATATAACACTACCTATCTCCTGTTTACAACACAGCTCTTTTAGCAGTTCCAAAAAAATGTCACCCTGAGGGCAAAGATAAACCTCCAGGCAGCCTCAACAACTCTCACAAATGGCACTAGCAACCAGATGACTGCAAAGAATATAAATCCTTCCATTCTTCACCAGTCTTTCAGAACTGAAGAAGCTTCTTGGATGAGAAGTAAAACATCTTCAAGCAAAAACAAAGAAAGTCCAGTTGCCTTTTGAAAAAACACCCTTGGGTTCCCCTTCCAATCTTTGCATTTATATTCATCATAGTCTCTTCTTCTCTTCCAGATGTATTTCATCTCTCCAAATTCTCTATGTTTTGAAGTATGCTTTAAATGAGAGAGAGGGAGGAATACATTTTTGGCTGCACTTTTGCACCACCTGCAGAACTGATCAGGTCAGTTATTTTTCCTCTCCTCGTTCTGCAATTAATGTATGTTGATATATCTTAATTAAAAGTTACTATTACACTTACCAATATACCTTATAGCTAGGTTCATTTTTAACTGCTACCTTAAACATTATTAAACCTACCTTCCATAAACAAGTTTTTGTTGTAAGGTATTCTACAAAAAAAGATCAATTTTCACAAAAGAACAGGACTTTCCCTTCGCTACTGATCATATATTCCAACTTTGCACTGAAAACTTTCTGAAATGAGAAATACTGATGTGAACATATTTCACACTCATTCTTTATGTGTATAGCATTCGCCCTAAAGAATTTTGCGAAGACAACAATATACTGTATGCCACTGTTATGCATCCTCTTAACAATGTCATAAGAATATATTGTTGAGTTAAAAGAGATTGGGCGTTGGTAGAAGTTACCGTGAACGCCCTTTCTATCTATGCTGCGAGAGAGCCCAGGATGGGTTGACTCCTTCCTATGACGTCATAGCTGAGTCTGTACTAAGATATAAAAGCCAGCCCCCGGGAGAGACCCCAGCTTTGGCGAAGATACTTGACAGACTGAAAGGTGTCTCTGAAAGCCCAAAATAAATACAGAAATATGTCTTACCCTCTCCGGACGAATCAAGGGAGGGGCTGGGCTCTCTCGCAGCATAGATAGAAAGGGCACTTCTACCAACGCCCATTCTCCTCCATGCTGCATCGAGAGCCCAGGATGGGACATACCAAAGCTTGCATGTCCACGGGCGGGTCCTTGTCTGCCTCATCACACCGACTGTGGAACCACTCGTTGAAGCAACCGTCTGCCGAAGGCTGCAGTCGCCGAGGCAAAAGCAACCAGACGGTAGTGTCTGATGAAAGGAGATGGGGATGTCCACGTGGCCGCGCGACAAATCTCCTCCAAGGATGCTTGGGTTGCCCAGGCAGCAGAAGTGGCTGCGCTTCTGGTAGAGTGCGCTGTCAGACCTCGGGGAACCGGAAGGGCCGCAGCTTTGTAGGCCTGCTCCATGCAAGACCTGACCCACCTGCTAATAGTAGGAGAGGCCTTGTGCCCCAAGTGAAAAAGGGGAAAAGGAAACAAACATGGCTTCCGACTTCCTGAAGGAGGAAGTCCGCTTAATGTATATTCTAAGAACCCTTCTTACGTCTAGTGTGCGCCACTTCCGCTCTAAGTCATGGTGCAGGAGAGGACAGAAGTCAGGCAAAACAATGTCCCGGGACCTGTGAAACCAGGTGTTAACTTTTGGAATAAATGAGGGGTCCAGATGAAGAACAACCCTATCATCGTGAAAGGAACAAAGGTCCTGTCTGATGGAAAGAGCAGCAAGCTCGGAAACCCTCCTGGCAGAAGTGATGGCCACAAGGAACACTACCTTCAGAGTCAGGAAACGGAGAGACACTGTTCTAAGGGGTTCAAAGGGGGGCTTTGTAAAGGCATTAAGGACCAAATGAAGGTCCCAGGAAGGATACCTGTGAACCACCGGAGGGTGCAGGTTGGAAGCCCCTTTCAAAAACCTCCTGACTGAAGTGTGATGGGATAAGGAAGGAAGCGAACCCCATGAAAGGACTGAGGAGAGGGCCACAACCTGCCTGCGTAAGGTGTTGGGGGCCAAACCTTTCTCCAGCCCATGCTGAAGGAAGCTAAGAACTTCTGCCAACTGGGCTGAAGCAGGAGACAGACCCTCCCTGAGGCACCATCAGGAAAAAGCCTTCCAGGTGGCATCATAGATGCGCCTTGTAGAAGGTTTGTGAGAAGCCAGGATAGTAAGGATGACCCCTTCTGGAAGATCAGCCTCCTCTAGCTGCTGCCGCTCAAGTGCCACACAGTCAGCTTGAACCACTGGGGCTCTGGGTGGAGCAGGGCCCCCTGGTGAAGGGAGATTAGATGGGCAGGGATCCTCCAAGGAGAAGCCACCGATAGGTTGACCAGGTCCGCAAACCAGGGCCTCCTTGGTCAATAGGGTGCCAGGAGGAGGAGCTCCGCACGTCCCTCCAACATCTTCCAAATTACTGCTGGAATGATGGGAAGCGGGGGAAAGGCATAGAGGAGAGCCTTGGGCCATCTGCACCGAAAAGCATTGGTCCCCTCCGCTCCCTGGCAAGGAAACCTGGTGAAGAATCTGGTGACTTGGGTGTTTTGAAGAGTGGAGAAAAGATCCACCTCCAGTGTTCCGAATCTGAGGGAAAGATCTCTGAATAGAGACGGAGGAATGGACCATTCTGCCTGGTCGACTAGGCTCCTGCTGAGCCTGTCAGCCTGGGAGTTGTTGACCCCGGAGATGTGGTCCGCCGAGATCGATAACAGGTGTTTCTCTGCCCATAACCCCAGCCGTAGAGCCTCTCTCATGAGGGCTTTGGACCTCGTCCCCCCTTACCGGTTGACATGAGCCTTTGCGGCCATGTTGTCCATAAGGACTAGAACATGAGAGCCGGTCACTGATTGCCTGAAATGCTTGAGAGTCAGAAAAATAGCTCTGAGCTCTAGCCAATTTATGGGAAGAGTCTGTTCCGATCTGGACCAAACGCCCTGAGCTACCTGGCCCTGCATATGGAAACCCCAACCCAGGCTGGCATCGGTGGTTATCACTAGCCTGTCTGGGTCCCTGAACAGGAGTCCCCTCCAGATAGATGGGGAATGCCACCAATTGAGAGATCTCCGGATTTGTGGCGGGAGTGGGACCTTGATGGATGAGTGGCTGGTTCCTGCTTGCTGGTAGGGAAGCAGGAACCATTGGAGGGCTCGGGAGTGGAGCCGAGCCCACAGGATGATGCCAATACAGGAAACCATCTTCCCCAGAAGTTTGGACAGCAGCGACAGGGGGACAATTTGATGTTGCTGGATCAGGCTGATGATCTCTGCAAGGCTCTTTCCACAAGTTGGGGACAGGAAAACCTGGCATGACATGGTATCGATGACTGATCCCAAGTGTTGCAATTTGGTTGTAGGAGAGAGCTGGCTCTTTTTGGTGTTGATGGAAAATCCGTGGCTCTGGAGATATGACAGGGTAATTTGCAGATCCCGATGGGCCACAAGGATGGAAGAGGAAAGAATCAAAATGTCATCCAAGTAGCATTGGATCCTCATTGGAATAGAACGCAGAGATGCCACCAATGCTGCCAGAACCTTTGTGAAGACCCTTGGAGCCGATGAGAGGCCGAAGGGAAGTGCTTGATACTGGTAATGGGTATTCTGATAACAGAAACGGAGAAACCGGCGATGATGAGGCCAAATTGGGATGTGGAGGTAAGCCTCAGTGAGATCAATGGAAGAGAGGAGGTCACCCTCCTGAACGCTCTCTAAAATAGAATGCAGAGTCTGCATTTTAAATCGCCTGTATTTTACAAATTGGTTGAGAAATTTTAGATCAAGGATGGCTCGCCACCCCCCTGAGGCTTTGGGAATGATGAAAAGGCGAGAGTAAAGCCCACGTCCCCGTTGAGACGGGGGAACAGGCTATACAGAGCCCCGAGCGAAGTTAGCAAGGGAAAAACACAGCAACCAGCTACACGATCAGCTGGCTTGAGCTCTTATCAGTTTGCCGATCGTGTTTATGATCCCTCCAAACTGCAGGCGTGGGGGAGGTCTGCAGACGCTGCCCAGCTTGCCTGCACAGAGCTCTGTGACGCTGCTCCCAACGTTGCAGGGCTCTCCTGAAAGAGCACCTGCCCAGATCTCTGGGAGCTGCTTGAAGAGAGGAAAAAAGTACTGAAGATCGCTGTGATTGCTACCTAACAGAACGCTTTCAGAGACACAGCTACTGACTGAAAGGAGCTGAGTCAAAAGCTGGGGTCTCTCCCGGGGGCTGGCTTTTATATCTTAGTACAGACTCAGCTATGACGTCATAGGAACGAGTCAACCCATCCTGGGCTCTCGATGCAGCATGGAGGAGAAACTCAAAGCTCACTATTACTCTTTCAATATAAGAAGCATATTGAAATATGACACACTTTTTAAAAGCTTTGAGATGGGCCAGTCACTCTTTCTTAGGTCAACCCACCTCACAGGAGTGTTTTGTGGAGAAATTAGGAGGAGGAAGGAGTATTAGGTGAAGAAAACAGTATTAAGAACGGTCTATTTATATTTCACTTTTCCCTATTACAAAGGCTCAAGGCAACTTACATGTTAAAGCTACAATTGCATGTCTGGGTATTGTACTCTTTATGAGTATATCCTTGATAAACTTCGGCATACCTCTGGACAGGGGCCCAGTCATAATACAACAGAGTCATATCAGCTGCATTGGTTTTCAGTTTGTTTCCAATCTAGATTCAAAGGGCCACTTCTTACCTTCAAAATCTAAATAGTTTAGTTGATGCTTCGATACCTGAATTATTTTTCTCTGCACAAATGTACTCATGCTAAAGTCACCAGGAGACGCTATGACATGTAAGATGGGATGCATGTTTGGATGATAATGACAATGAAGTTGCAATGAACAATCTTGCTAACTGAGAGCTCAGTTTTTCATGTGATACACATGTGGAAATCAGGAAGGGCAAGTTCATCATACTGGCGATAAGGAAGATGTCTTATGGCATCATTTGTTTTGAGATATAGCATTCTAATATTTGTGTGTTGTTTTCTGGCTAATAAACAACAATTAATACTGTAATTCCACCACAAGAAGAATTTACCCTTGGTTTTCCATAGGAATTTTATAAACATGCAAATAATCAAGACTATAGACTGCTGTTCAAATTATGGTCCAAATAATTCCAAGGAAGTCTAAAAGCAGGTACAATTATTTATTTAATTAATTAGATTTATATAGCTCCATCTTATATACAGGACTTTGGGGGACCAACTATTAAAGCAGGATAAAAACAGAATAAAAATACTGTTATGAAATATAAACATAAATAACATAAAAATAGCTGCTGAGAAACTCATAGCAAGTTTCCTTTTATATTGACATGCTGGAATTGAAAAATACCGATTTTAAGGAAAATATCAATTTTGAAAAGTAAAAATAATATAAGATGCAATTTAAGATTATTAATGTATAAGCCCTATATCCATATAATATCCTTGACAATGAAATATTGGGAAAAATGGTCAATAATTTTCCCAATAGCTTTTACAATGACAATGTTGTTACAATGACAAGGAGTAAACACTGCCTTTCCAACACCACTCATCTTGTTCACTCCAATCTGGATTCTTGGATAAACAGCATGATGACCAATTTGCTGAGGACAGAGAATGATTTAGCCAAATTTAAAAGAGAATTAGACAAATTTACTTACAACTGACAATGAAGATATAATACTGATAGCTTCTGTCTTTAGAATCATCTATCTACAATAAAGGAACCAGCAATCAAGAAATATGCTGGTTGTATTACTAGTAACCCTCAGAATTCAAGAAGCTCTTACAGAAAGGCAGCATATTAGTTACTGCAATTCTTGCAGTCCATCTAATGAAGATCTGTCACTATTGAAATATCAATGAATGAAAGCAAAAAGTAGGATTCTGAAAAACTTTAGAAGTCCAAATAGTCATGTGGGAATTTAATGTTAAAAGACATTGAACTAGAAAACATCTTTAGCAACTGAAATAGTAAATTGGGATCTTTAAGTTTAAGTGAAGTGGAAAAAAGGAACAGCAGAAGTTATAGTTCTGAATTCCCTATTTAAAAAGCTTAAGCCTACTCAGATTTCCTGTATATTTTTTTTATTAAGTGATTAAAAGAAGTGAAACTTTTCATTTCATTTACTGTTGTTTTCAGTACTGTATCATAGGACATAAGGATGCTTACATTTTATGAACAGAAAATTGAAGTTCTGAATTAATGGGTGCTGAATGGACAGCTCCTTTGGTGATAACATACAAGGTTTGCTAGAATTCTCAACAGCAATCTGAAGCATATGATTTTGTAGACTAAAAACTTTTAATGATTACCATAATTTATAAATTATACAGGATTTTTTAAGGTTAAGAGAAGAGTTATCTCCCATACAAATACTTTCATGTAACAAAAAGCAGATAAATTCAAAGTTTAGTTTTTAAATATTATTCAATATAAATAATGAAGATGTTTTATCGTTTATCAAATTTAATTCTGTTTAGATTATGTATGTGTGTAGGTATGTATATATTGCATATACACACAGAGAGAGATGTACATTTGGGAACAAACAGACTTTACTCTCAGAACCATACTGTTCTGAACTATACAATATTGGTTTAAAAAGGCAATATAAACAATGCATCTTTACAAGAGTATAAATAACAAAGGTTACTCAGTGCAATTGCATGAATATTTAGTCTAAAACTCACTTTATGCCAAATCATCTCTATATGGCTAAACTAAATTGTCCAACTTTGATTATTTGACAGTGTTTCTGTTGATTATATTACTTGGTTAAACTTCTATAACTTCCTTGTATAAAGTAGTCACAAAGAGTTGACACCCAAATACATATTTCTGAGTAGACTTTTCACTGTATTTCTGCGTATGAAAAGAACAAGATTATACTGCATCAGTGTAGAAATACTGGTTAAATATAACTTTAAAAGGGACATATAGGGTATTATTTATGAAACTTAGCTCCTATTTTTTATTTTATATTATGCATTTTATTATTTTTATCTGTTTTATTGTAAGCCATCCAAAAGTCATCTATGTGAGGTGGATGCTAGGTAACTAAAAACCCTGTAACTTAACTTCTGTCAGTTGCAGCCAGGTCAATTTGATATATGTAAGAACTGAATAGCGACAAATGAAAACAGATAGCTTTGTATCATTGAAAAGTGCTGCATATAAAATCCTATTTTCCTCCATAACACATTGCCAATTATAATGCTACTATTAAATGGTCTCAAAGCAATATTATGCATATTCTTTCCCACAGAAAAGGAAAGGGACAGGGAAGGAGAACTTTCTTTGTTCATTGTTTTTTTCAGGACAAGATGCATCTCAAAACCAAAATGAGGCAGCAGTGTCAAAATTAATGTAGTTTCCTTTTTCAGATTATTTACTATTTCCTTTTGAGGTGAATATAAGTTTCCCATATGTTGTATTTTTAAACTCTATTTTCTCTTGCAAATGTTTAAGGTATAAGAATGAAATGATTTGCAAAATTAGGATTTGAAAAAGAAAGAAAAATGCCAGGTCTAGCATTCTCTTTGAAATATTTTGATTTCGGCAATAATGTATAACAGTAATCAGAAAATATTGACTATTCCATACAAGATAAGCTAACACCTCTTACTGAATTTTAACACATTTCAGCTGTGACCACTGGTTTACAAGGCAATACTACAAAAGTATCCTGACAGAAAACATCTTGGAACAAAAATCTAGATGAAAACCATAAATGCCCTCTGCTGAAGTTTCTAAGCAGAGTGAGCAGAAAACTGAACTGTTCATGTGTTGAGGCATTAAGATCACAGGAAAAAAAAAGGGGGAAATCACAGAAGCTTTGACAGTTGGGACAAACCACTCAAACATAGGAAGCTTTATATCTTTGTGGTAAGAACTGTTGAAATGTCCTCATAATGAATCGAATTAATGAACACAGGAAAATCACCTTGCTAGTTTGTACTAAAATTGAGATTACAACATTTATAATGACTTCAGAACAAATTACCTTTATATACTAAAAAGCATGTGAAACTGGACCCAAGTTACTACTGAGATTTAAGAAAAACAATTGGGCATAAAGAGCATGGAAGTTACAAAGGAGGGGAAAATGACCTATTACTGATGTTACCTAGTTTGGGTAATGAAACAACAAAACAACCAAGCTGAGAGAGTATCAAGGTCCCTTCCAAAAACGACCCATTTAACAAGTAAAAGTACACTGCTGAAAAATGTTTCTCTCCTGACACTATATGACATTATACTTCTATACTGTTATCATTCTTTATTAAACTAGTATACCCCCTGACACTCAGCAACACTGGTAGGTATTCTTGAATGCACAGTTTTCAGAGATGCAACTTATACAGGAAGCCACAATTAGGTTGAATTTATATGACCTACTTTGAAGCAGTGGGGCATTGGATTATTTCATCTAAAATACAGAACAAGAATATGGGGAAGAATATACAATTCTCCGAGTTTACTGGCGTTGGGATCAAGAAAGAGCATAAAGGTGGGGGGGGGGGGGACGGCGATAAACATCGATGGGATACACTATAGCCACACCCCTTCCTTAGATCCCTCCGGAAGTATCTGATTGCCTTCTGCAAAACGCAAGCAAGATCGCGACTATTGCAATCTCATTCAGATGGGAGAAATCGATGCCATCCCTGGACGAAGTTTCAAAGACACGAGTCAAGCCTACCGAAGTGACAAGCATGCAGCCTACACGCACGACCCCTCCGCAAACTTCTTCGGCACAAGTTAAACCGGGCCTCCCCTGAATCGCGGCGCTGATCTGCAAAGGGGGGGGGGGGGAATTCCCATTGGTCGTCTGAATGGGCTTTATGCACAGGCTTTATGTTGGGGAGGGGGAAAGAGAAATTCGGCTCTTCCCCAGAAGCCCCCAACATCCACAGGGCATTAAGCCCGGCGTTTAACAGCTCGGGCGTCTTCCTGAACGCCTGTCCCCGCACATACACACACACACCCCGAGCCCTCCTTTCTTACACTGGATGGCCGGACTGGCAGCCTGAAGATCCGACCTCCTCCCTTCCTGGAGGCGGAGGCGGCGTCCGCTGCTGCTGCCCCGGCTGCTGGTCACGTAGTTGCTGGGGAAGATGCCGACGCGCTGGTCGATCTGGCCCGTCCACCAGCCTTCGTCCCCGGATACCTGCGAGTCCCTGGAGAGCACCTGCACCACGTCGCCGGGACGCAGGCTCAGCTCGTCCTCGCCGCACGCCTCGTACTCGAAGACAGCCGTCCAGAGGCCGGCCCCCCCGCCGGCGCTGTCGCCCGAGGCCGCGGCTTCCGCCTTCCCCCAAGCGGGGCTGGCCGCCGCCGCCGCCGCTCCCTCCTCTTCAGCCTCCCCCGGCAGCGGCGGCTGAAGGGGGCTGCGCGGGAGGAGGAGAGGAGGAGGTGGAGGAGGAGGCGGACGGAACGGCTCCTCCATTCGGGGGCAGGGCTGCCCGCAGGGAAAGCTGCCTATAGCTCATGCGGCTGCCGGCTCCCGATCCACCCTTGAGGGAACGCCGAGGCCGGAGCCGCGCCACAGCCCTCCGCGGAGAAGAGACGCCGCCCAGCAGCCCCTCCACAGCCACATCGCGCGCCGCCGGGGCCGCCGACCGCACATCCTAAGCCACCTGATTGACCGGGCAAGCTTGGAAGAGGGGACGAGGGAGGAGCGTCCGGAAAACCCCGCCTCCCTGACCGGTTATCCCTGGGCTCTCATTCGCTGTTGCGGCAGTCCTTCAATCTCCTCCCTTACCTGATTGAAGATCGGCGGCGCCTTAACGGCATCCTGCCTCCCAGTTTAAGCCTCTCCGCCTCGTTCCCCCCCACCCTCCCCTCAGCTGTCTCGCACGCGCTTTAAGCCGTCCTTCCTATTGGGCGGCTCCCTCAACGTTCCCTTGGATCGGATTGAGCGTCAATGCGGGAAGCTCAAGGTTCTGTCGTTGCTAGGTGAGAAGGCTGCCTTTGGCCTCCCGGCGCGCGTTGGCGCGCGCGCCAGCCGACTCCGCCGCTTGCGAATGAATGGGCGCGGATCGAGGGAGGCAAACGGCTGCCCTTATTCTGAAGAGCGGTCTTTTTGCTCACTCCGGACGAATTACGGGGTTCTCCGGTTTGGTGTTGTATAGTATTCCGAAGTGCCAGTTGTGTCGGCTAGACATGCCAAACGGCCCTTACGATGAGCATCTTTTCTTTTTCAAAGTAACCTTTTTGGCTCTATCGGAACTCTTCTGTTTCTTCCTTGGTTCTGGCAACCAAGTGGGGCTACCTGCCTTTGAAAGAAACGAAGGCACAAAATTGAGCTGACCACCCAAATATCGATGGGAGGAGTCAAGTGACCGTTTTATGAGATAAATGCACCTATCGGTGTATTCCCAAGGCCAATTTACAGCGCTATAATTTAAAAGCAAAGTCTGGTCACTGTTCTCGGGTTGCAGTTCAATTGTATGTACCATCCCGGGGTGGGGGGGAATCGTAAGGTATGTAACAAATGTAAATAGAGAAATAGATCCTAATAAAAGTGCGTTTTTTGTTTGTTCAAATCAGTTTTCTGCTGGCATAGCTTTCCTAGCAAGCTACTTAAATAATCTTAAATATGAGCAAGATTGCTGCCTTGCTAATGCTAGCATGGCATTTCAAGCCAATGTAGCAATTTGTTTCATGAAGTAGGAAAATAATGGCTGAAATGTTCAAGTTCAGATCTCAGTGGAACATTTTTCTAGTTGCTAACTGTGTATTGTTAGCTTGTGATAATACACAGCTTACCATACTGTGTAAATTATGGCGTGCCTTTCATTGAACAAACCAACCAAGTACATGTTGATCATGACTAAGATCCCATGGCTTAGTATGTTGAATGAAGCAACCACTTTCAACCGAGTTTTGAACTACACGGACAAGCTATTCACCAGCACAAGCCATAATTTAGAATATTTAGAATAACAAAGAACTTTACATTCTGTGAGTTAGATGACTCACATGGTAGAGAAATGTGACTGAAAAACTGAATGATTCTGCTTGCATGGCACTAAATGAAAATTCAGGCATATATCAGCTTTTTATTTTAATCCTACTGATCTTCATAATTAATTGTATTACATTAATCTGGAAGAATCGATAAACAGTGGGTGAATGCAATAGTGGGTGACAAAACCAGAGAAACAAAATGGAATTGCAAACCCATTCAGCTATGGATGTAAAACACTGTTGAGGTTTATTTAGATTAAATAAATCTCAGCCAATTAAATCAGTTTATTCATTTAATATTTAAATAAATGAATATCTAATTAAACTATCCCTGAAAGAAAACTGCACTTGTTTCCAACATACATGTATTGCAGCTGGCATTGTCTTAATCCATGACTTATTAAAACAGTTTACTCGATTAGCTCCCAAGTATTGACACGCAGATTGATAAATAAAATAACTATTCTTCCTGGCTTTGCATAACACAGAGCCAGCAATTAACTACTGTACATTGTACTTTAGCCTATGTGCAACACAGTAATTATGTTTGAAAATTTTATAAGTCACCTTTTATTCTAAGTGCAAATATTTGGAACTTTCCCATTCGTTTTATAAAAAACTGTTCTATTAGTGGTAGAATGTAATCAGATATCATCCAATATTTTAACAGTATATTTTGATTTTAATTCATGCTGGTTTCTATAACATATTATGCCCAATGACTATGCCCACCAAAAGAAATTGCAACCATGAATACATAATTTTTCTGCCCCTGGCAACCTCCAGACAGCAGGTTAAAGCAGCATACTTATCCTGTGTGTCTTATCCTGAGGTACAACGGTGTATCTGCAATGTGCTGATGAGATCTATCCAAATGGATAAATGATGTGTCCCAGCAGCAAGACTGAATTCTGTGGTACCCACTCTATTACAGAGTGGGAGATCAGACCATGAGCTTGATCATTCTTCCCCTTACACATTACACTTTACAGTTAAATAAGAGATATTTAGTTTAATAGTTAGATCTCATAAAATCTAACCATATTCATAAACTTGACTATATTTCATATAGTTATTTAATATTTACAGTTAAATAAATTTTGAAAAAAACATTATTGAGCATGATATTACATTTTCCAACTCATTGTAATATTTGGCAGCCAAACCAGAAGCAATTTGGATATCCTGTGCTTTACAAAATATACCTTCCTTAACTCTAAGCAAAAAGAGGAAACAAACTCTTTCAGTTAATATAGAAAAATCTCAATTTAACAGACCATGTTGGGAATCCAAGATTCCATTACTTGTGTAATTTCATAATTGATTTTTTATATTTCTGTGGAGGGGCATGATGGCTTAGTTAAATATGCTGAACTCATCAGTTGGAAAGCTGACAACACAGGTTCGAGACCCAAGTGCCACATGACGGGGTGAGCTCCCATTACTTACCCCAGCTCCTGCCAACCTAGCAGTTCAAAAGCATCCAAATGCAATTAGATAAATAGGTAAAAACTTCAGTGGGAATGTAATTGTGTTCCATGTGCCACATGACCAGGCAAGTGTCCCTTGGCTAAGAAACAGATGAGCACCAGCACCCTAGAGTTGGATACAATTGAAAAGGAGAAATCTTTTCTATCTTTGTAATCTCTATAAATTAAATGTTGTAAACTGACACAAATGACAAATACAAATAGCCATCAATTGTCTAATTACACAAATTGACACATGATATAAAATTACATCACTTGCCCAAATTGCTTCATAAATAACAGGCTTTGTTAAATTGTGGGAGATGTCTAATGAAAAATTAATTACTGCTCCCAAAATTTCCTAAACCCAGTGCCATTAAATCAAATGTTCAGTTCACTTCTACTGAAAATAAAATGGCATCATCAGAATGTTTTTACAAAGAAAGCTCCAGGTTAGAATGTTTTCACTGTATTGTATTCAAACTTTAAATTCAAAAATCTTAGAAAGATTTGACAGTAATGTGATGGTCAGATATTACTATGGTAGTAAAAGGTTATCAATCATGGTTGGGCTTGGAACCATAATTTCTAGGCAAGATTAGCCTACACATCAGCATATCATTTGTGGTATTTTTATTTTTTATTTAAAAAACCCAGCAATTATTTTCCTTCAACTACATTACCGGTAGTAAAAAAAAAATTGTACCAGGATTGTGAAAAGCAATGTCTCCAATATTGTACATGACCAACAGATGGCAGCACTGATTCACCGGAAGCTTTCTCTTTTACTTAAATTGGTGAAGAGTAGTTGGGGGGGAAAGCTTGTGTTGCTATTGTTCATAAAATGAAAGCTTGTAATGAGTATTCTTTAATTTAAGCAATCCACTATGAGATGTAAGTTTTAACTGCTCAAAGAATTGAAATTTGCCAGCAATTGTTGTCATACTATGAGAAGGAAAGCATTTTTTTTTTCAAAGCATCATAGCAACCAACAGACCATGGGTACATCATTATGATTCAAAAACAAAAGAATATCATCACAAAGCTTCACTGCAAAAAAACACCAAACAAACATGCTTTGATAGTGTTGGAAGAATTATCCTTTTGGGTTCAGTTCCAAGTGGGGAAAAAGACACTGGAAACATGGAGGCTGTTTGGAAAGATGGTTTAATGGTGGACAGGACCACATGGCTTGGAACTCCAAAGTCAAAAGGATGATCATATGCTTCAAGGTGAAAAGAGAATGGAGGGCCAAGATGTGGAGGGACTCTTTCTTATATACCCTCTCTTAGGGCCCCACCTTAGTGTTTCCTGTTCCTGTGCAAGAAATGCATCCCATTGGCTGTCAGACTCCCAGAGGCGGGGGTCTTAACTAATTTTGTAGGCTTTGTCTGGACCACATGGCTTCACCTGAGTATTGGCTGATACTATCTTCCCAGGTCAGGTAGTGAGATGGGTAGAGGCCTTTATTATGTAGAATACTCTGGCCTAGGCCTTAATGGCCCATTAACAAAGGGGGGGGGGGGGGGGGGTTTCTTCCTCTCTGAGGTGAGTTTCTGCTTCTGAGTTTCTACTTTTTTTAGGGGAAATATTCTGCCTTTTTAATATTGCCCAGGATATTTCATTTTTCTAGGAGAGGGGTGGGTGCAATAGGAAAACTCATGATTACAATTTTTGATCAGCAGAGGGTGTTAATAGATTTTATTGAACTTGACACCACTAACAACTCCTTGCTACATTGCGAACCTCAAAATCTGAAACAAGTAAGATCAGAACTACAAAAATGAAATTACGTTGGATTTCATCATCTTATCCTATTCACCATGTAGTCCAGGCTTGGTGTCATGCAATTTTCACCTTTTCACATTATATAAGGAATACCTTCATGGGCATCTGATTCAAATGCAGAGGTAGAAAGGACTATCAGGAACTGATTGAAGAAACAAAGTGTGGAGTTGTTTGTGATGGCTTCAAAAAGTTTTCTATGACTGGAATGTGTGTGTGTGTG